GCAAAGGTGTCGCTTGGATAATATTATTAGTTTTATTCTACATCATTTTCGGTGTAGTATTTGCCTGCCTAAGTATTATTGCAGTGCTGTGTATCTTGTTACTGTTCTCGGGTTATGTGGGTGAAGAAACTTAGCATCACTAAGTCAACTAATAAAAGTATGTAAATTTATTAGCGTATTTGGGTCGGATAAACAAGATTTGACAAATAATGATAACCAATTCAGTCACACAGATTAAAGCGGGAGGGTCGTCGCATGCGCACGCGCGGGAATTGAGTCCCAAACGACGATAACAGCACAAGTTAAAAACGCAAAGAGGGGTAGACACTTGTTTGCAAACAATGGCACGCTATGACCATCTGACGCATGCGTAGGTGACGACTCCCCCGCATAAATTTATAGTCTTTGTTAGTGAAAGGCGAGCTACGTAGTGTCAAATTATCAAAACTGTTAGTTGGCTACGTCAAGTTCGGATTATCGAGAAAATCCTGACTATCAATCAGTATCATTGGTATCAGAGAATTATCAAAACAAATGACAGTCTATAACTTAGATAATTTACTGATAACATATTATCTGATAATGAAAGGAATATTGTGCATTTCTCATCTATGCAAATAGTCAAATCCCAGGACCATTAAAGTGATGCGACCATTCAATTGTCACGTTCCAGTAAATTTAAATGAGCTCAGTGTTATTCCTGACATAAACACTGATCTAGTTCCATGAATACCAACTTGACTTTGTCATGACCCTCATGACCGTTGTTTCATGATACAGCATGCGTGCCAACCACTGATCATTTGCTTGAACATTTTTTGTAAAAGGGAAGAAATTAAAAAACAACGCGTTCAATAAAAAGTGCTCGCTAACTTGAACGCATTCTTTCAAAAAGTATTCGTATCTGATTTGCTTTGTAATATTTTCTGCAAAATATAGTTTTTCGGAATTTTCTGATTTACTAGTACATGTATTTTCATCATGTAATTTTCTTTTTTACGACTATTTTCAGCGTTAATATTAATTAACATTATGTATTGTTTTATTGATTTATTATTACCAGCCAGCATTATTGGTTGAATTGATTTACTGTAAATTAATAATTTTGATATTAAAATTACACGTTTTCATGTCATGAATATTCATTTTATTTATAAATTCGCAACTAGGTAACCAAAATTACATGACGACGGGACTGGTATTCGAATAATTCAGTGGAATACAAAGTTAGAATCACGAGTGGAATCAGCTGGGTTACATAGATAGCCAACTGGGTCCAAGGACAACCAGTTCAACGAAGATATCGTAGTTGACGTCACCGTGTATTTGCGTAGTGTGCATGCATACCAGGTGATTGCTACCCGGCCTGCTTGAATGGGGCGTTATGTCAACTCGCAT